TCCGTGCTATTGTGAACAAAGCTGCAATAAACATGGGTGTGCATATATCTGCTTGGATGTCAGCTATGGTCTCTTCAGGGTATATTCCCAGTAGTGGGATTGCTGGGTCAAATGGTAACTCTATTTGCAATGTTGACAGTTTCAATCTCCTCTCCATCCATCATGACAATGCCTATTGGTCCAGTGGTAGAAATCTTTCTTGATACTGAGATGCAATCCATACTGAAGGCTGCATTCCTTGATTTCCTGCAACAAGTTCTTCATGTCCTCCTCACTTTCAGCAAGCACGGTTATCATCTGCATAACACAGGTTATTGATGACTCTCCCTCCAATCCTGATGCCACATTCCTCTTCAGAGTCCAGCTTCTTGGATAATTTCCTCTGTATGTAGACTGAACAGGTATGGAGAGAGAATACAACCCTGTTGCACTCCCTTCCCAATTCCAAACCATGCAGTGCTCCCCTGTTCTGTTTGAACAAAAGCCTCCTGATCCAGATATAGGTTCTGCATATGCACAATCAAATGCAATGAGACTCCCCTTTTTTCTCAATGTCAGCCACAACTTGTCATCATCCATTTAAGGTCAAACACCCCTGCATAGTCAATAAAGCACAAACAGACATTCTTCTAGTGTTCCTTATTTTCAGCCAGGACCTATCTGACACCAGCAATTATATTCCTGGTGTCACAGCTGCTTCTAAATCCTGCTTGAACTTCTGACAGTTCCTTATCTATCTATGCACTGTTTCAATTGTTTTTGAAATATCTTCGGCAGTATTTTGCTTACATGATGTATCAATGATATTATATTGTTCGATAATTTCCACATTTGGTTGGATCACCTTTCTCGGGAATAGGAATAAATATGGACCTCGTTCAAGCCATTGGCCAGACAGCAGTCCTCCAAGTTTCCTGGCATAGACTGGTGAGTACATCCAAGGCTGCATCTGTACATTGAAACAAGTCAGTTGGTATCCCATTGATTCCTGGGGCCTTATTTTTTGTCAATGCCTTCAATGCAGCTTCTAGTTCCTCCTACATTACCATTGGCTCCTATTTACATGGTACTTCCTGGAATTTTTCAGTGTCAATCAATTCTTTCTAGTATAGAGATTCCATATACTTGCTCATCTTCTTTTCATGTTTTCTGGGTCATTCAATATATTGCCCATAGCATCTTTCAATATTGCAACATGAGGCTTAAATTTTTCAGTTCTTTCAGCTTGAGAAATGCAGAGTGAGTTCTTCCGTTTTTATTCTCCAATTCCAGCTCTCTGCACATTTCATTATAATTTTGTTTTGTTTTCCTGAGCAGCCCTTTGAAATCATCTGCTCAGCTCTTTCATTTCAACATATTTTCCTTTAGATTTGGCTTCTCGACGTTCCAGTGCAATCTTCAGAGTCTCTTCTGACATCCATTTCTATTTCTCCTTTCTCCTATTTTTGTAATGACCTTTTCCTTCACAGATGGTATCATCTGTCAGTTCTGGCACTATGCTGTTTTTGTTGTTATGTGCTGTCAAGTAGCCTATGACTCACAGCGACTTGATGTACAACCACCCTAAACCCTGCTCTATTCTGTGCCAATCTGTCTCTGATGCACCTATTCCCATTACCCCAGTCACTGAATCAGTCCATCTCAGAGGGTCTTTCCTCTCCTGTGCTGTCCCTTTCCAAAGACTAGTCCCTCCTTGCAACATGTCCAAAGTATGTCAGACAAAGCTTCAGAATCCTTGCCTCCAAGGAGCAGTCTGGTTTAACCCTCTCAAGGATGAACCTGTTCATTCTCTTTAGCAGTTCATGGTATATTCAATACTCTTCTGCAACATTACAGCTCAAAGGCGTCAATTATCCTTCTATCCTCCCTAGCCACTGTCCAACTCTCTGACGCAAGTGATTGCAAAGACCATGGCCTGTATCAGGCGTACCTTAGTCTCTAGACTGACATCGTTGCTCTTCAGTACTTTGGAGAGGTCTCTAATGGCAGATTTCCCCATCGTAGTATGTCTTTTAATTTCCTGGCTGCTGGTTCCAAGAGTGTTGACTGTGGAGCCAAGCAAACTAAAGCTGTTTACAATCTCAGTCTCTTCACCATCTATCATGATACTTCCAATCAGCCCAGTGGTAAGAATCTTTGTTTTCTCAATCCATATTGAAGGCCGCAGTCCTTCACCTTCTGCAGCAAGGACTTCAAGTCCTCCTCAGTTTCAGCAAGCAGGGTTGTGTCATCTGCATAATGCAGATTGTTGATGAGTCTTCCTTGAATCCTGATGCCACATTTCTTTTGGTAGAGCCCAGTCTCCTGGATGATCTGTTCTGCATATAGATTAAAAAGGTATGGAGATAGGACACATCCCTGGTGTATACCCTTCCCAATTTTCAATTATGCAGTGCTTCCTTGCTCTGTTCTGATGACTGCCTCCTGGTCCAAGTATAGGTTTTGCAGTAGCACAATCAAGTTTTCTGGGATTCTCATTCTTTTGAGTTAGTCACAGTCTGTTGTGATCCACAGAGTCAAACGCCTTTGTATAATCAATGAAACACAGATAAACATTCCTTTGGTACTCCCTGCTTTCAGCCAAGATCCATCTAACATTAACTACAATATTCCTAGTACCACGACCCCTTCTAAACTCAGCTTGCACTTCTGGCAGTTCTGTGCTATTCCAGAGTTGTTTTTGGATAATCTTCAGCAGAATCTTGCTTGCATGTGACATCAGTGATATTGTTCGATAATTTCCATACTCTGTGGGATCACCTTTCTTTGGAATGGCAACAAGTATAGATCTTTTCCAGTCAGTTGCCCAAGTGATTGCTCTCCAGATTTCTTGGCACAACTTGGTGAGCACATCTAGGGCAGCAACTGTTAGTTGAAATATGTCAATTGACATACCATCAATTCCTGGGGCCTTATTTTTTTTTCCAATTCGTTCAAAGCAGCTTGAACTCCTTCCTTTATCACCATAGGCTTTTGCTCCTATGTTGTTTCATAAAATTCTTCTGTATCTGCCAATTCCTTTTGGTACAATGGCTCTGTATACTCTATCTTCTTTTAATACTTCCTGGATCGTTTAATATACTGACCAATGCACCCTTAAGTACTGCAACTCGAGTGATGAGATAAATACAAGCAATAGGCTGGCCTTGACTCGTCAGTCCCTGACCTGTACACTTAAAGAGACCTTGCTCCTTATCGACTGTCCTCAAGTCAATTCCAAATCCTGGGAATCTTTCATTAGTTTTCTAAGGCTGTAGAAGTTTATAGGAGACTATCTCATTATTAGAATCCCTTTAATTATTAAGTGTACACTCATATAA